TGTTTCTTCTCCTGTGTTCTACTGTACAGACGTGAATTTACTTTTGCTTCAGCCTGAGGTTTATTCATTACACTTTTTGGTGTGAAAGGGCTTTTATATTTGCTATAAATAGAACTTCTTATATTAAAAACAATCAAGTCCTGCTTATATTTAAAAAGTAACGCAAAAGTAATATAACGCATTACTTTCCATAAAAAGTAACTAAGTAATGTAATTAGTTATTTTTTAGGGAGTAATGCAATATTGTAATGCATTACTTTTAAAAGTAACTTTCCCCAACACTGACACACACACACACGCACACACACACACACACACACACACACACACGAGATTTGTTTGCTGGCATTATCTGTTTCCAGAGATGGGCACTCGAGTTAGTGACTCGGACTCGAGTCACATTTTTATAGACTTCAGACTTAACTCAGACTCGACCTGAAATGACTCCAGACTCGACTCGACTCGAGTAAAAGGACTCGTGAACATTTTTCACAACATTTCAAAAGAAAAATGTAGGCTAATTATAATTGGGAAAATTGTTGTTAGATGGCTAGGACTTAAACTTTGAAATTGCTAGTTATCTTTCTTTTCTGCTCCAGATGAGAACGTTTTGATTATTGTGGCTACATTGTTTTTAGATAATGCTTTTAAGTAGGCTAAAATATTAAAATAGTATAGATTTCAGGAGGAAAACTCTGAACAGAAACATTGTTTTTCCTGTCACATGGCCTCACATGTATCTAAATGTAAAAATGTAATCCATGTAAAAACTTGGAACTTTAATTGAATACCCCTGACTTATATGATAAAGAAATGCTTTATTTGTATGGTTTTGTAATATCTGTGTCACATATTTCCTTGTGTGTCATGATAGATCGGACTCTTATTATAGAATTTCAATTCGTTTTGAACATGGTAATGGATTAAAACATAGCCTATAAATAATATCTTAACTTCTTAATCTTTTTTTTTTTACAAAGCAGATTATAGAATATGTATTTTGTCTATAGCCTATAAAACAGCACAATACATGAGGATTCTGAATGAGATTTTTCTTTTAGCAAGCCATTAAATGACTTGAGACTCGACTCGGACTCGTGACCAAAGACTTGAGACTTGACTCGGACTCCAGCGATAAAGACTTCAGACTTGACTCAGACTCCAGCGATAAACACTTCAGACTTGACTCAGACTCCAGCGATAAAGACTTCAGACTTGACTCAGACTCCAGCGATAAACACTTCAGACTTGACTCAGACTCCAGCGATAAACACTTCAGACTTGACTCAGACTCCAGCGATAAACACTTCAGACTTGACTCAGACTCCAGCGATAAACACTTCAGACTTGACTCAGACTCCAGCGATAAACACTTCAGACTTGACTCAGACTCCAGCGATAAACACTTCAGACTTGACTCAGACTCCAGCGATAAACACTTCAGACTTGACTCAGACTCCAGCTCCAGATGAGAACGTTTTGATTATTGTGGCTACATTGTTTTTAGATAATGCTTTTAAGTAGGCTAAAATATTAAAATAGTATAGATTTCAGGAGGAAAACTCTGAACAGAAACATTGTTTTTCCTGTCACATGGCCTCACATGTATCTAAATGTAAAAATGTAATCCATGTAAAAACTTGGAACTTTAATTGAATACCCCTGACTTATATGATAAAGAAATGCTTTATTTGTATGGTTTTGTAATATCTGTGTCACATATTTCCTTGTGTGTCATGATAGATCGGACTCTTATTATAGAATTTCAATTCGTTTTGAACATGGTAATGGATTAAAACATAGCCTATAAATAATATCTTAACTTCTTAATCTTTTTTTTTTTACAAAGCAGATTATAGAATATGTATTTTGTCTATAGCCTATAAAACAGCACAATACATGAGGATTCTGAATGAGATTTTTCTTTTAGCAAGCCATTAAATGACTTGAGACTCGACTCGGACTCGTGACCAAAGACTTGAGACTTGACTCGGACTCCAGCGATAAAGACTTCAGACTTGACTCAGACTCCAGCGATAAACACTTCAGACTTGACTCAGACTCCAGCGATAAACACTTCAGACTTGACTCAGACTCCAGCGATAAAGACTTCAGACTTGACTCAGACTCCAAGTTAAAGACTTCAGACTTGACTCAGACTCCAGCGATAAACACTTCAGACTTGACTCAGACTCCA